CATCATAATCATTATTATTATTATTATTATTATTATTATTACTGAAATAATGTATATTAAACATTTCAGAAAAAGGTGCTTTTTGTAATTTTATTCTGTGTCTAAAATTTTTATTTTATCAAAATTAAAGTTGAGTGTAAATTCAATGCTATGTTGTGATAGTACAGACATGTCTTTTTCTCTCTATGTCTCTTTTATGTTCTACCATTCTTAATTTTACAGCTCTCGATGTTTGACCGACATAATAACAGTTGCAATTCGCACATGGTATGTGGTAAACGACATTATTTTTATCGAGTAGCTCAATTACATCTTCTCAAAGTTATTTCTAAGTTTAGACGATATTTTAAATTGTTCATTGATCTGTTTAGATGAGTAGGTTAAGGACGTTCGGTAGCGATAGAACCCTGTGATGAATCTTTTTGAAATTTCAACCAGACGTTCTTATTGTTGTGACAATGAAGCTGTTAAAATTTCAAGAGGTTTTTCTTTCTCGTTTCCAAGATATTGAATTTCAAGGTTCAGTCATTTTAACATGGTCGCTTATGGGAAATTTATGAAAACTCAGTTTTAAAAAAATTGGAGCGATGAATGTCTCTAATTTTTTTGTATGTCACAGATAATGTTATTAACTATATTTACTCTAAGTTTCGTGGTGATCGTCTGATAAGCTTATGAATAAAAAAATTAAATAATAGTTCGACAAAAATGCAATGGCAACGTCGCAAAAGCGGGAAATTCAAAATGCTCCAGGACGTAAATCTTTTTCTTTCCTATTATTATTTGTAAGAACTCAATTTTAATGTAGTAATAGTTTAAGGACTTAATTAGTCTTTGTTTGCAAAGTAGTCAAAAAATTGTACATACCAGGAGGAAACTCCACATAGCTTATAGTTGTATACAATCCGAACGGTAATGCACATAAGGAAGCTATAATCCATGAAATAAGAATAAGACATATCCTACCATGTAAGTTTTTCAGCATATTGAAGTTGAAAGGGTGACATATTGCAAAATATCTTTCTATTGTAAACATCATGATTGTTAAAACGGAAACATCTGAAGACCTAGATAAGATATTAAAGGTGTATTATTAATAGATGAAAATAAGGTTTTAATTATCTGTGACCTCAAATTTATTGACTATTATATCAGAAATAAAGTAAACTTTAATGATTCTTGATATTATCAGTAAGTAAATCATAGCCAATACTTACAAATATCAATAAACTGTTTATGTTTTACAATCATAGAGTATTTTTAACCATTTCATTAAAAATAAATATTTTGGAACCCTCAATCCATGTAAAAATACGTTTTATTAGCTATGTGCTTCTGTGGTTCTGCTCTCATAGTTATAAATTTTCTGTTTAAATTTTGTGAAGCAAAATAGTTAAAATGGCCGCAGTCAACAAAAGTTATTTACATTCTCATAAAATACGTCTAGTGGCATAACAACAAGCGTATAGTGGATTGTAACCAGGTTTTAAACTACTCAAATAATTAGCAAAAAAACTAACTTATGGTCAGTTTCTGAACCTATACGTATATGAGAATTCTTTCATCCAATTTTTATTACATTCGAAATATCTTATTACGTTTTGATTATTCTGGTTTAACTTTTCAATTATATTTTATTGCAGCTGTATATAATGTTAAGTTTATTATATTATTATTGCTCATTATTTAAACTTGAGGCTTTTTTTCATCAGGGTAAGTTTTTTATTTTTTCAATGAGAGTTTTACTGTGCACACTTGGTTAGCGACATATTTCGTTAAACGTACGTCCATAAGTCAGTACGTCAGAATAATGCTTAAGGAGAAATAGCGTGGCGGGAAAAATGAAAGAGGGGCATATGGGTGCACACGTATAGCCGCTACCTCTCTCGCTCTCTCCTGCTCCTACATTCTCTTTCTTTCTTAACGCGTCTGCAACTAGGCGTGCGTAAGCAGCCACGCTCAGATTCTTTTGAAGTAAGAACATCTTCAGGTGCACCTAAGTTGGGGACCGAAATGGTAGAAACGTAACTAGGTACATATATNTATTTCGTTGAACGTACGTCCGTACGTCAGAACAGTGCTCAAGGGGAAACAGCGCGGCGGTAAAGGGGAAGAGGGGCAGATAGGCGCGCGCGTATAGCTACTGCCTCTCTCACTCTCTTCCTCCTCTCTTTCGTTCTTTACGCGTTTTCAGCTGTGCGTGCGTCACTGGCACTCGAGTCTCATCGTTTGTATTCGGATTCGGATTCGGATACAAATGTATAGTCAGCATGTGGTGTTATATATACTCCTATTGCCGTGTCGTAGTGTGTTACTGTGTGCACTGTGCAGACTGCAGTGTCAGTGTGCTCGTATACATGCATGTATGTATGTATGTTTGTGTGTGTGTGTAATTTGTGTATATAATAGAATTATCAATTATGGATAGAACCATGAGAGTGTGCATGTATGCAAGTGTGTACATGTTTGCCTGCGCGCATGTGTATAAAATATCGTAATTGATGTTAATACTTTATACCCTAGTTAATATTTTTATTTTATAATAAAATAACTGCCGCGGACAATGTTTTTCGAGGAAACCCCTGCGCCACTAATGCTAGGGCAGTCCGCGTTTTGACTTTTGACGTGCTTCTTGCCTATGCGTACCCTCAGAGCGTCAAACCAACATTACATTAACAAATAGTTTCTGCATGTACGGCAGGTCAATAAATATAGCCAGTATTAAGTAAGCATATTATTACGATGTGACATAACCTTTAAATATTAAAAATACGCCATATTTTTTTAATGGAAGCAAGATAAAGAAAAAATAACGAATTTTATAGGTTTTCTCAATGAAATGAAATAACCATGGTGCACAAAAAGAGAGGCTTTGAATTATGTACAAACATAACCTCAATTTTAAATTTTTTCAATGTACCTTCATGAAATAAAGAGGAAAACCATAGGAAAAAAAACTAACAAATTCTACAGGTTTTCTGAAGAAAATACAATTATCACAATGCGCAAAAAGAGAGGCTTTGAGTTATGTACAAATACAACCTCAATTTTAGATGTTTTTGTTGTACCTTCATGAAATAAAGAGGAAAACCATTGGAGAAGTTATATTACGTTTAGTAGAAAGTTACAATAATACAGAAATGGTTTTACATGGTCATGCGTGGACATAACCTACCATTATTGTAAAATATGCCATATCTTCAAAAGAAAGTGAAATACACTAAAAATAACGATTTTTACAGGTATATTGAAGGGAATAAAACATCGTGGCACACAAATAGTAAGAAGTCGACTTATGAGACGACATCACCTCAAATCTTAGTATTTTTGATATTACTCTATAATATTGAGATACAAAATTTAAGAAAAGTTAAAATGTATTTGTTAAATTATTACAAACGTGTAGGATATATTTTCTGTTTTTTTGCCCAAAAATAACTTCGAAAATTCTTTAAAAAATGCAAAACCGCTAATTGAAAGATAGATTGATCAAATATAACTTCTTACACGTGTGCGCGCGTGTATGTAATTCCAATAAGCAACTTCATTTTTGATGAGCAGTATGCCAATGCGCTTATTTTAATTCTGGACCATTATGGTAACCGTATAAGTATTATACACTTTATGAAACACACATCAATGAACATGATAATAGAAAGATTATATTATTTTGTATTCCAATTTTTTTTTATCGCGCCATTTATCAATGATTTTTAACCCTTCGTTATTTCAATTACTTACTCTTGCTCTCTCTGTTAATTCTTATGTATTTTGATCATTTTTAAAGTTGTCACTTTTGCGATACGTCCCCCAACGCACCCATTTCTTTACATTTATGTAAAAATATGCAGTATCAAGTGAAAATGGTTACATGAAATAATAGAACGTCTAAGTTGTATCGATTTGTTTGTATTGTTAAATTAAATTTTATGCAACATCAGAGTTAAAATTCAGAATTATTTTTATCCGTATGAAAATTCTAAGTATCCTTGACAAAATTTATTTTTAAAATTTAATCTAGCCACACTGTGTGGTTAAGTGCAGACAAAGTAATTTTTCAATAAATAATCGCTTTTTAGCATCATTTTTAATATCAGATGAAAGTCGTTATGTGTGGTTATAAATCTTAACATGATTTTTTACTGAAAATCGTAAAAGTCAATAAGGTTGTAAGACTTATATTTAAAAGGCGATTTTTACATTTTTTAAGTTCCATTGCCTGGTAAAAAAAGATCTTAGATGATCTTAGCAGCACTGATCTTTTAAGATCTTGCGACTGCTTGCGTGCACCATTGATCATAGAAGAAAATTATGTTAAGAAAAATTATAATTAGTTAAAACACTGTACATATGGACTTGAAAATTTATAATTTATGCTATCCATTACAATTCGACTATTTCCTGCTTTACTAAATCGATTCAACTGTCAGATAATACATAATTTTGTTGTTGATTACATTTCTTATCCAAATTTAGATATTGTAAAGCTGGAAATTCCAATTCATAAAACAGAATTTAAGCTTTAGTATAAAATAAAAACATGCAAACTAACGTATAAAAAGACACCTTTACAAGGTCATACAATTAAAAGACGCATTAAAATCGCAACTACTGCATTACGTGAACAGAAATGTACACAGTAGGTCAGCGTCAGTTTGACGTATGACACACCAACACTACTTCATACATATCACTTAGTGAAATCTATTAGCACAACGCTGAGTGCACTATTAAAAAGAAAAGCATAAGAGCTTTCCTCTAACTTCTTAAGCAAGAACAAATAAAGTCTTTTGTCTGACCAGCTGGTTTCTTACTAACAACGATTAAATTCATAAGAACTAAGTTCTTTATCACGGGTTACGATGAGATATATGCTCCCCGTGTGTTTCCTGTGTATAAAGACGGTTGAGAACAAGGACCCATCAGCCAGACAGTGTAAAAAAAAAGCATGCACTTTTAGAGGTGGGGGGGGAGTTTAGAATATCAGTGGCAAAATAGAGAGAGAGGGAGAGAGAGCCAGCCAGCCAGCAGGGACCCGTTAGCCAGAAAGCGTAAAGAAAAAGCTTGTTCTCCCATTTTCGCTAGAAAAAAAAAAACTTCAAGAGAATTTGATTACAAATCAAACGTAAGAACAGTTTTTGCAAACCAATGTTGTTTACATAAATGGGAGCACTTTTTTGGTCAACATGCATATACACGACTCTCACACCCATCGCAGCTTAGGCGTCACAATCACATAAAATTAATAAAATATACACAGAGAGCAAGCGTGTACCCACATACCAAGCCAACCACAAAAAAGTGTTTAAGGAGACTGAATGTGTGTATGTGTGTTGTCATCCCCACTTTGCTGCGTTAAAATTCTTACGTAATGCACATATATTTCTGCGCACTCGCTGGTAGAGAAATGAGCCTGTATGCATGTGTATAGAATGTAGTAATTAGTATTAATACTACATATACTAGTTAAAATAATTATTTATAATAAAGTACATTATCAAATAGCATATCGATGTAGATATCTAGTATTGATTGAACGGATTCTTATTATATGGTATAACCTCCGATTATTTCAAAAAACGCCATATCTTTAAAAGGAAGCAAGATAGAGCACAAATAACAAGTTTGACAATTTTTTTAAAGGAAAAAAAATTGTGGCCTACAAAAAGAGAAATGTTGAGTTACATGAAGACATAACCTCAAATTTGAGTATTTTACATATCTCTCTATAAAATCAAGGTTGAAAATTTTCGGAAAAATCATAGCATATTTGCAAAATTAGTACAGATATGTAGGATATAATTCTCGTTTGTTGTCCAAAAATATTGAACCAACATGTATTTACTAACCTTGTATTTTACAGTATACGTGTAATTTCTACCTACATACGAAAACTTCCTTTTTACTAGGAGACTCTGAGTTCCAGCACCAAATTCAACACCCCTAAATACTGACGTAATATTTCTGTTGGTTAAAATTGCAAACCTCTTTTAAATCATTAGTTTAAATTAGATAGCTTGAGCCTTTTAAAAAGTTTAAATCCTCAGCAACTACTCTAACGGTAATTCAACAATTGGCTAATAATATTTTTTTAAGTTTATCAATATTTTTGTTTATTGTTTACGTACTTGAATGTGCGACACGCTCTTTATAGTTTACATCCTATTGGCCCCAAAGAAAATTTTGTACCATCGATAAATGTTACTTATTCCCTGGTAGCTTCATTCTATACAATACATGTTTGACCTTGACAGCATAAGTAGGGAACATAAGGACCTGATAATGCCATTTGGGAAGCGAAAATTCGATACACACAAGCACACACCCATACACACACATAAATATCTCATTAT